CTGCCCCCAGTAGTATATGCTCTAAAGTGTGCAAGTTTTGTCTATGATGCAAGTGTAATTTTTTTTTTTCTTCAGGACACACTCATCTTTTGTTTAAGACAGTCAAAATTTCACAATTTCGCCCCTCTTCTTCAAATTTACATATAAAATACATTTATAAAACGTACCCAGTGTTGCCAGACGACCTATGATGGTTTGTCCCCAACCGACTTAAAAAAAGTCCTCTTTTGAAGAAAAATACCCCTTAAATAAAAATTATAATATTGTTATCAGTTGCATATTATTCTGATGATATTAATGTTGCAATTTTCCGTTATATAAAAAAATAAAATAATATAATCCTATTAGTATCACAATTTATGCAACCAGTATCACAAGTTAAACATGTCCTAAGAATATTTCCCGCTAAAATTTAAAAACCTAAGAATATTTTGTGCTAAAGTTTAATACTTTTTTTATTCAATTAACATACTTTTTTAAGAAAACTCATTTAGTAGATAGATATATATATAGAAAATTGTTAAATTTTTTTTTAATGTCGATCTTATAATACGTACAATTAGGCAGATTACGTAAAACTTCAGTTAATTTGAATTAGCTATTTTAGTGTATGCTATCATTACGATTACAGTTAATCTGTATAAATATTCATTACCATTCAAAAATAACAATGATTATAAATATAAACTGATTATGAAATGTGAAGATGGGATATTAATTATAGTGTCAGAGAATTCATATATTGTAATAACTGTCAACTTGAAATCGATTAAGAAAAGGGTATATAACAATTAAAATATTTGACAATTAATTTTTATACAGGGTGAGTCAGTTTTTTGTAGACAAACTTTAACAGGAAATAGAACACATGTTTTTAAAAAGAAAAGTTCCTATAAACATATGTCGTAGAAGGCTTCGTTTCCTAGATACGGGGTGTTGAATATATTTTTTTTTTCTCGAATTTTCATTATAACTTATAAACGAATGCTTAGATTTTTTTCATGTTTGGGAGATAATGCCTATTAATTAAGGGGCATAAAACAAGCGATAAAAATGTTCAAAAACTTGCACAGTGGCGGAGTGGAGGGGGTGCTCAACCCCTTTCTTAAACAGAACTTCTACGCCAATGACTATTTTAAAAAAAAACTGTTATTTTCATTATCTACATATAGTTTAACAAAAATAATGTCCATTCTTCTGTCTCGAAATTCCTGTGCGTTTCCGAGTTATTTTGATTTTTAGTGTTTGTTGTGGTACTAAATTAAGTAATTTATTTATTATCAATTATCGGCTAAATATTTAATTCTTTCAACGAAACCTACCTAAATATGGTTTGTTAAGGATTC